CCTGTCGGGCCCGCGGGGAGGAGAAGCAGAAGGAGAAGAAGGAGGAGGAGGAGGAGGAGGAGGAGGGAGAGGACAATCACATGGCTAATGAGGGAGGCGAAGGGTTGGCCGACCCGACCCTAACCCCAAACCTCGTGGCACTGGGCCACCTAGGTTCGCCACTGCGGCCCCGAGGGTGAACCAACTGGCCGCAGAGACGACGGGACGCTGCCGACGCTGAAAGAGGGCGAAGGGCCCTGATGTGACGCATGCATACCTAGCCGCTGCGGCTCCTCCACTCCGCCGCCCACAAGGGCAGGGGAGAGGGGTGGGGCTGAGTAGCGGCCGGGGCGGACTGGCAAACCAAGTCCACCCCCGTGCCCAGACCCCACGGGGGCGCGGCCCCCCTGTGCAACTGTCGCCGCAGAGGGAGCATCACCTCCAGCGCCCCACGGCCGTGCAACAGGGGACCGCCACACAACACGCAGCGGAGAAAAGGACGGCCAGCATCGCCTGCCCGGCGGAACCCCTCGGCCCGAGTTCCAGGGCTGGCTGCGCATCACCAGCACCGCCAAACAGGACGAGACAGGGACCCCAGATCGAGCCCGCTGCGAGCGTCAGGCTACCGCGGAAAGTGGATGAGGGGCGGGCGACGGTCGAGGTGGACTGGCTGAACCAAGTCCACCCCCGTGTCCAGCCCACCCGCAGGATAATGGCCCCCTGTGCAACGGTCGCAGCAAGGGGGTAATAACTCCAGCGCTCCTCCCCCCTGAGTCGGGGCGCCTGACGCGCGTGCTGACGCGCGCGCACACACGCGCGCACGCACGCGCACGAGCTAATCGCCTACCCCTGGTGTAAAGAACGCCAGGGCGGTGGCAGGCCTCGCCCCTGATGTGGGCCTATCCGGGTTCTTGAGATTTAAACTGCCTACTGACTTTAGCTTGCTCTTCTCGGACCAATCTAGCCAATGGAACCGCTGGGGTCGAGAAAACGATCGGGGAACTCCTTGAGCCCTTCGGGCCCAGTCCTTCCTGAACGCGAGCAAGCTGAGTGGCCGCGCCTTGGTGGGCCACTCGAGTGCTGCAAACTCCAGCGAGCCCTCAACCCGACCCTTCAGAGTAGGCTCCACACCTATGGCAAATCAAGATACTCGTGGAGTGATCGGGGTGCTCATAATAGAACAAGTCATGGCCTTTGCTATCGCGCACAAAATCTGACAGCTGTATGCAGTGGCAAGGACACTGCGTGGCCTCGAGCGCAACTCTCTGCTTGATTGATCTGGTCTGAACCCCGCGCATCATACAGCGCACCTACCAAACATCATCGCCCAAATGTAAGCCCTCCGAGGCTCTCTCCGGGCAGCATGGGGCTCAGGGGGCGTAGGAGGAACGGCTCGACCGACGTCGACGACGAGGCCGAGGGGCCCCGAGAGGACAAAGCTTAGGCAGCTCCCGTGGGAGGAGAGAAGCTCTTCTCTGGGGCGGCCAAGGCCTTGCTGCGCTTTGGGACTATCGCAGGCCACTCTCCCAGAGCCTGGGCCGCATTCGTGAGATATTTCTTCAACAGCTTCTGGTCCTGTGAAAAACTGCGCTTCTCATCTTCGCTTGGCTGGACTCCTCGCTGCGCGACCGCCTTGGCCAGACGATATGTAGCGCCGTTGCCTTCCGCCAACCTTCGTGCCTCGCTGCCTGCGGGCGGGGCTTCGATGTCCTGGTGGGCCTTGGCCCCCAGGAGCCCCTGCCCCAACAGAAACGCCCGCGACCCGCGAGGGCCGTAGACCCAGCCCGCGAGTTGCGACGGGGGTAGTCCTCGCCGCCATGCAGAAATACTACCCCTATGTAATCAGAGTAAACTACGCCAGTGCCATCAGACATTAGGCTAGCATCACAGCAGCCACAAGTTCCGCGGCCCCAGAGGTTTGAAGACGCACCTGGCCGAGCCGGCTACTGAAAAGGGCAAGAACGTCATCAGCGCGCGCGACAGCAAGCCCCGCGGCATTGAGAACGCAGCGCCCGTGACTGGTGAAACTACCATCCACGTGAACTGCCCCCCCGCTGAACGCTTCCCGGGGGCTGAGATCAGCCCGAGCGCGCCAAGACTCTCCGGATTCGAGCCCCGCGCCAGGGTGCGGGCCCCCTTCAGAATCAGGGCCCAGCGGAAGCCAGAGGTGCAGATGGGGGGCCTGGGGAGGGGGGCCCTCGCAACCTCTGAAGCTCCGAATCCGAGGAGTGAGTGGCTCTCAGTTGTTCGATCTTAGGGCAGTAAAACATCCTGCGACCGGGATCATCCGAACGGTGGCCGCACTCGTAGCCCGTGGGAACATCATGACCCGCAGCACTCGCTCTCTCCATGGCCCAGATGCTCTGGGTGAGGAAGGCATGAAGTGTACCTTTCTCTTACCCAGGGAGGCTAGATGCTAGAACGCTACGAGCAGCGGCAACGTCTAACTGCGCATTCTGGTGGCCGAGCTTCGCGGCCGCCTGCTTGGAGAGCTGGGCGTGCCAGTGCAGCCCCATGAGCTTCTGGAGAGAGGCAGGGGAGTGTCCTGGGAAAGGATATTCAAAGCCCGCGGGGGTCACAAACTTGGATGGGCCCTGCAACTTCCGACCAATACGTTTGAGGGAGAGCACGGCGGCGCTGAGCGGGCCCCTGGGGGATCCCCACGATTTCACAACCCTAGGCAAGATGGCGTCAGCCCACTCCCGCAGCTGCCGCAAATTGGCCGCGGCGCGGCGGGGGCGGGTGGGCGCGCCCCAAATAAGACGGCGCCACATAATGGCAGGACCCAGGGCCGCTTTCCACAGAGGGTCCTGGAGGATGACAACGACAGGCTGCGGCCGCGCGCCGAACAGCGCGGACCAGCAGCAGCGAGAAACTGATACCTAGCCGACTCAAGCTGAGTGCGATTGATGCCAGTGACCTCGACTCCGAAAGTGGTTGCCGCCTCCAGGCCAGTCTAATGCACTTTGTGGGTGTTCCCCGGACTCGGTTGAATATTTTGCGCATCTTGTCAAGACGCCCCCGAAGCTCCCGGAACTTCCCCCGCCGTCTCCGGGGCCTGCCAGGCCCAATTTCAATCCCCAGGTTGGAGCCCGAGCGATCCTGAGATGGGCCAGCCAGTGGCCCCAGGGCTTCCCGAAGTTGGTCCTGGAGAGCTCGGTGAGAAGCCAGTGCCTGGCTCTTCTTGCCGGCGATCTGGCACTTAAACTCATAAATGATGCAATCCGCCACCGACCTGACGGCTATGTTAACCTGGCTGACGATGGGGCTGAAACTACGGCCGCGGCACTGGCGCAACCGATCGTCTATAGACATCGCGAGCCGAATGCAACTATGGGCCCGCGTCGATTTGTCGAGCGGGGCGAGCGCAACATTCTGTATTAAGTAGGTGGCCCAACTGCACCCAGCTTCTGTACCCCGCCAAGGCTTAGGTGCAGTGTTGAAGCGAAACGGTGCGTTCACAAGCATAGTGCAATAATATAATCATACGAAAGCAACACGGGTAACCAGATTCAACAACGCGATGAGCAAGACAAGGCCGATCAACCTGTTCGTAGTAGTTAGATAGATAGTATAAGACATGGGAACTGCATTGTTGATTTTTGTCTGTGTCATTGAACTCGCATTCCAGTGGTTGCTTATGTACTAGTTCCACGATCGAGTGCCCCGCCTGATGCGCAAGATACGGCCGACGGCGGTGAGTTTCCCGCTTTCTGGCCGCGGACATTCTAAGACGAACCCAAACGCGACGCAAAGCTGGAAGCATGCCAATTGTCCTGAAAGACGGCTGACTGGCAGGGGCATCACGTTGTTCACGCTTGATCATGAGCGTTGAGACAGCCCCCCATGGAGTTGCATAGACATGTGACCAACTTCCTCAAAAAGACTGATAAACTGGCATACGATATCCGCCTGCTCGTCGTTGAGCACGCTGAAATGGCGAGGATGGAACCCATCCCAGGTAGAAGCGGTGGCACGCGGGAAGCTGCGGGCAACGTGTCGAAGCGTCTGAGGAATATTAGGGCCCAGCGCAACTCGATCGTCAATATCAAGACCAAGCTGGGGATGAGGTCTCCAATGAAACCTGCCAGATCTCAACCAAGCGGTTCGCTTCTACCTGCAGAACGCGCCGAGGCCCACCAGTGAACTGCGACTTTTGCTGTGCAGAAACGGGGCCCCAGGCCCCCGGCCTCTCCGACCATCTGCGAGCCCATCCCGATCCTCCTCTCATATTGGACTGCGCCCACCCATCCCCTCCAAGCCCCCCCGTCAGCAGCGTTCTCCGGCGCCTACCTTTGGCGAAGAAGCTCGGTGACCTGCTCTAGCAGCTCGTCCAGAACTTGGACCGCAAAGGCCTGGTCAAGCAGGCCGGCCTGAAAATTGACGCGCAGCAGACCCGCGGCATCTCGAATATCCTAAAGCCTCTCATTGAGGGACGAGGCGTTGGAGAACAACTCGGGGCGATCCTCGCTGCTGTCCAGGGTGCCTTGGAACTCTTGCAGGTTCCAATCCTTAACGCATCTACGAAAGTCCTGAACACGATTGCACAACCGTCTGAGAGGCCACCCATGTGGCCCTACTCCTAGCAGCCTTGGCCTCCGCGGGGACCATGGGGGCCTGGGGCGGGTGCGCCCGCGGGGTGCTTGCTAGGTTTGATGGGGGCGTTGGTCTTCTTACTGATTGTAGGTTCCAAGTCCTGGGCCAGGGTGAAGCGCGCGTAGCCCAGGGGCGCCGTCGACTGCTGATCTGAGAGATGCCGCTGGGCATCATCGATCAGTTGTGTAGCATATTCCACTGCCGCGGCAGTCTGGTGCCAACCCACTTTTGGTAATTGCGGGCCCACGGGGATACGCGCGGGCAGCTTCTGAGGCCGATGCAGCGTGGGGGCATTAAAATTACCCCGGGCGACAATATCCAGCATCGCAGGCCGATGAAGAAAGAGAGGGCTGGAGGCCAGAGGACGGGGGTTGAGTGGCCAGGGAACAAGGCCCCGACTGGGTGCAAAACAATCCAAGGTCGCCTTAGTCTTCTGTCCTGAATGTGGCCGTGGGCGGCGCGATCGCTGACATGGTGGACCTGGGCAGAAACTCAGTCTCAGTCAGCTTAGACGGGGCCTGACTGAAATCCCCAGCGACCAGCACTTGGTGACCCACATCGTCCTGAAGCTGGCCGATGGTGGCCAACAAGTTCCGACTGGTCTCTGAGAGACCAGCAGCAGCCTGAACATAGGCATTGCACATCGCGGCGGCTTCAGTAGCTTGCGGCGAAAGCGCAAACTTTCGCACAGCTGCCCATCGCGACCCATTCATGGTGGCGAGTTCATTACATTTGCTGCCCCGACAGCGGGGCCAGCGGCGGCCACGGCCCCTGCCATCTTGGCGTCGGGGCCCGACGCGCCCTGGACCTTGACCACGCCCTCCGCGATCTGCTCCAAGGCCGCAGCCGAGCGGACGAGGCCTTGCGTCTGGTCCACGGCCGCAGTCTTGCCGTCCTTGGGATCATCCAACCCCGCAGCTGCTGGAATATGTACAGGTTGTCCATCGGCGATGGCCTTGGACTCTGCCTTGACCTCCGCAGCTGGCTCTTCAGGTTTTTCTGGCTTCCCTCCAACGGCTGGGGAACTTGAGGGGTTCTCATGCGAAGGCTTGCCCTTGCCCGCTCCCCTTTGTCTGGGGCGCGAGGTATATCTGGTGCTCGTGCTGCATGGTGTCGAGCATCTGGGCGAGCTTGGACACCTCGGCGAAAAGCTCTGGGGGTGCTTGCCCTCCTCTGGCATCCTGGCTGCCAGCATCCATCAGGGCATGGTGAGCGCATCCTCGTCCTTGGAGGCCTCAAGCGCTGCCGCTTGGGCCGCCATGTTGAGCTCAGGCTCCAATACCTGGACCTCATAGTAGTAGCTTCAATCTCCCTTTGTCTCGCTAGTCTTGACAATGCGGTCGACAAGCTCGATCGCTTCCTGCTTCTGCGGCTCGAGCTTCTGGCGCTGTACCGACAACTGGTCCGATAATGGCTGCGCCTGCTGCTCCAGACTCTTGGCAGTTAGCACCTGCGCCTTGGCCTGCTTGAGCTTGGCCAACGCAGCCTTGTATTCTCCTCTATCTGGCTTCCACTTCTTCCACAACGTGACCTGAGTTTGTGCCAGGGCGACTGGATATTCTTTGGTGCCGCCCTCCTCCGCGAAGGCAACCTTGGGTCGTCATCCTCCGCGGCCGAGTCCAGGTGGAGGGCCTGGTCCGCGGGAGCCGTTCCTCCAGCAACCAGGTTTGGGCGGGGGCTCAAAAACGTCAGGCCGAATTTCTGCGGCCCCACCTCCACGTCCTCCTGGCTGATCAGCGTTGGCACCTGGATCAGCACGCTTGAAGCGACTGACACGCTGAGTGCAATGGCGAGCCTGCGGAGACATCCACGCACGCCCTTTGCATCCACGCTTGGCGCACACGAGGTACTTCCTCTGGGTCGACGACATTTCTTGTACCCCGAGCGCGTCCGCGCGCACACAAGACATGGGCCCAGAAGGCATTGGCAAAAAAAAAAAACGTGATACTGCCTTGGCCTGGGACTGAAAAAGGCCACGGGGAGGAGGGGGAGGAGGAGGAGGAGGAGGACCCGTGTAAACCCAAGAACCACCAACGATGTTGGAATACATCCTCCGTCCAACTACCCTCTTCTTAACTGGTTCCTGCAACGGTTCATGTCCACAGAGGGAAGTGCCTTGTTGGAAGACGATCGTTTGAAGACCCTGAAGCATGCCAAACATTGTTCTCGGGATTCCAACGCCACGGGTCAACCTGATTGTTGCGCCTTGACGATGCTGAATCGTGCGACAGCGTCATCCCTCGGACTTCGACGCCGCGAACCAACGTAACTGTTGCACCCTCATGATCTTGAGCCCTTCCAAAGCACCTCTTCTGGTACGATCATGCGAATCCACGAAATTCACACGGCGCTAAGACGAGAACCGCATTTTGAAAACAGGTTGCCCTCAATCCGTGGAGCTCTTGTAAATGTTTAAAGCGAATGTGTGCGGCGCTGATGCGAGCCACATTTTGAAAACGGCTCGCCCTCAGTCCGTGAGGCTCTTACAAATGTTTGGAACTAGTGTGCACGACGCTCAAGCGAAAACCAACTGTTGAAAACAAATCGCCCTCAATCCGTGAAGCTCTTGCAAATGTTTGAAGCGAGAGCCACATTTTGATTTTGAAAACAGGTCGCCCTCAATCCGTGAAGCTCTTGCACATGTTTCAAAATCATGTGCGGGCGCTAGTGCGAGAACCCTGTTGGAAACGGATCGCCCTCAATCCGTGAAGCTCTTGCAGCTCTTGCATTTTTTTTTTTAAAAAAGGAAGAAAAAACGAATGTGCGCGGCGCTAAGGCGAGAACCGCATTTTGAAAACAGCTCGCCCTCAATCCGCGAAGCTCTTGCAACTGTTTCAAGCGAGTGTGCGCGGCACTAAAGCGAGAACCACATTTTGAAAACGACCCGCCCTCCATCCGTGAAGCTGTTGAGGGTCATCAGTGATG